TTGAGCCCATTGTTGAAGCCACTGTGTCAATCCATCTTGCGGGGGGCCTTCTACTTTTTCCCTGTCCCTCCGTTTTACCAAGAACAATGTCCTTCTCCAGGAACTGATCTCTCCACACAGTATGCCTAAAGCACATGAGGCAAAGTCTCACCACCCTTGCTTCTCAGGAGAAAGTGCTGTACTTCTTCCAAGAAAATCTGTTTGTTCTTTTGGCAGTCCATGTTACTTTCACTATTTTTTCACCAACACCTGGTTCAAATGCACAGGTTTTTCTTTGGTCTTCCTTATCCAATGGCCACTTTTGATAGCCATCTAGGGCATGAAAATATAATGGCTTGGGTTGGGTGTACCTGTCTTCAAAGTAACATTTTTGCTTTTCAACACTTTTAAGAGGTCTTGTGCAGCAGATTTGCCCCTTACAATCTGTCTTTTGATCTTTTGTTTGCTGCTTCCATGAGAAATGATTGTGGATCTAAGCAGAATTGTGACAATCTCTGTCTTTTCTCCATTTATCATTGTGTTACCTATTGGCCCAGTTGTGAGGATTTGGGTCTTCTTTATATTGAGTTGGAATCCATACTGAAGGCTGCAATCCTTGACCTTCATCAACAAGTGCTTCAAGTCCTCTTCACTTTCAGCAAGCAAGGTTGTGTCACTGCATATCACAGCGTTGTTAATAAGGCGTCTTCCAATCTTAATGGCACATTCTTTTCCACATACTCAAGCTTCTATGGTGATTTTCTCAGGAGATCGATTGAATAAGTATGGTGAAAGGATAACAGTCCTCAAAACGCCCTTCCTAATCATAAACCATACATTGTTCCCTTGTTCTGTTCTCACAACTCTCTTTTGATCCATGTGCAGGTTCTGGATGAGTGAAAGTGCTCTGGTGTGTGTACACACACATATATATCAAACACACATATATCAAGCTCATTAACATCTAATTAATTTGAACTCATAGCGACCCTATGGCAGGGTAGAACTGTGAATTTCTGAGATTATATTCCTTTATTGAAGTAGCAAAGAAGCTACTGGATTTGAATAGCTGATTTTGTGGTTAGCAGCCCAACATATTTTCGTATTCTTCCCTCATAACGTTTAGGTTGGATACAGACCAGTGTGTTTCAGTTGTGTGCATATTAGCTATATCACATTATAATTGTCTTCATTTAGAGATTTTGTATGATTTAAGGAAATATGTGCAGATGGAAAGTTGAAACAGGATATATTATGATGCTTAAAGCTTTGTATCAACTTTGCTTTTCCTTGAGATCAGTAGTTGGCAACTATGTAATGATGTGTTTTTGAAGTTATGTAATGATGTCATCATCCCCCATGTTATTAGTCAATTAGTTTTAAAGCAAGTTTCTCTGGGGTGTAGCCTGCATCCAATATATATATGTGTGTGTGTGTGTGTGTATATATATGT